TGTAGTTTTTATATCTTAGCTTAAAATTTGTAAAGAATTATTTTGGAAATAGTTACAAATGATAGTGATATAGGTGAGTAGGTGCCAACCTAGTTGGGATTTACTTATCTATTGTGATGCGATTAATTCCAAAATAAATTTGTACTTGTAATTTGTAAATGATTTATTAATTATTAATAAAAAAATTTGTTTTTATTATTTTTTATTTGTAATTTATGTCATTTTAAGTGATTAATAAAATTATTATTTTTTATTATTTTTATTGTCTTTTTTTTATAATTTAAAATTTAAATAAAATCTAAAAAATTTAAAAAAAATAAAAAAATGGGAAAAAATCCGAGCCAGCCCGGAACCCGGCCCAGTCGGGCCCGGGCCCGGGTCCGAGCCCCGATTTTGCCCGGCCCGGGCCGGCCCGGATAGACAGGCCTAGCAGCATCACATTAATCATACACATGGTAAATTCTTCCAAACTAAGGAGCTGTTTGGTTCAATTTCTATAAAAAAAGGAAAAGTAAAGTACCCAAAAATTAATTTTATTGTATTTTTATAAAAATTATAGGAAAAATTTATAGAAATTCAAAAAGTGGTGTTTTTCTTATTATACTTTTTCTTTGCTTGGTTCAAAATACGAAAAAGAGGAGAAATCAAACTTTATAAAAAGTGAGTTGAGAAGTGAAAATAAATAAGTTTGTGCAAAAACTATTATTTAAATCAATGCCTTAGAGTTCTGGATATTTTCCGCACATATTGAGAGGAAATTAACTTTTATAGAACAATATACTTTCTTTAACTTTACAGAAAAAATTTCTATAACTTTTTTATGGACCAAACATAGTTTTAAAAATTAAAAAAAAGTTTTTTAATTATCAAATTGTCATTTATTTAGAATTTCCCATTAATGTACCCAAAAAAAGGTCAACCAAACGGCCCTAAAACCAGAGCCAGAACATTCGATTTGGATATGCATGCATCTTCGTCAGCCGTCGAAGCGATGCCCTAAAGCAAAAACAATCTTTGCTCCAGTGAAGCCAAAGGTCAACCCAGTCGTCTTCTCCTCATTACATTATCAAACCGATTCTGTCCACAAAAACCAGCACCTGGGACGCAGGAAATCCGGTGCGCTATCTATTTTCAGCTGACGGCCTTCCGGTAACATGACACGTGGATGTTAGAAAGAGAAAGGGACCGTACGAAAGCTCCAACGTCTCTCTCTTACGTGTCACAGAGCTGCAGGAAGGTAACGACGTGCAACCCTCTCCCATCCTTTGACTGCCACGTAGCACCGCGGAAGAGGGAGAACCTCAGCGAGGATTGAGGAAGGGGCTGTTTGGTGGTTGTTGGTAAAGTTATGTATTTATGACACAACTTGAAAAGTTGTTGTCTACCTCATCAATTTTACTTTTATACTTTTCTTTGTTTGTTTTTTATTTCATTGGAATCATAAATTGCTTGTTTGGTTAGTAAATGTAACTTTAATTGTTTGTTTGGAAAGTGTAAAAAGTGGTCCCTACTCAAATGATCATATTGGTTGGAATTATTTTTTATTATTTTTTCCTGACTTCAATGTCAGCTTTCTCCTAAAATCATGTCTTTTTTTTTATGAAATCACTTTACAAGCCACATCAGCATATGAAATCACTTTACACTATTTTCACAACTACAAACAAACAATTGAAAGTGATGAAAGCTGACATTGGGACCCATTTTTTTACACTTTCCATCATTTTACATGGTAAAAACATACAACCAAACAGCCCCGAAAAGTTCGGACGCGGTGGGGCCGCGAGGGCGACTAGTGGGCCCACATCTGGGTCCCGCTTTTACCGTCGCTGGTACTTTTTGACGGTGATTGGCAATTGGGTTCCTCTGACACGTGTCTTGTTTGGCTATGAACTCAAACGAGAATTTGAAATGGGGCGCGAACTTTTCGGTGTTGGACAAATTTTCAAAACCATCCTCTTTTAAAATTTATTTATAGAAAACGATCTATTTTAACTTTAATTGCAAAAACCGACCCAGTTGGTTGAAACTGGGTCGGTTTTTAAAAAAAAAATTCAAACTTCACGGGAGTTGAACTCCCGTGAAGTTTTGTTATGAGAAAAAACTTCACGGGAGTTCAACTCCCGTGAAGTTTGAAAATCTTTTTTTTCAAAAACAGACCCAGTTTCATCCAACTAGGTCTGTTTTTGTAATTAAGGTTGAAAAGAGTCTTTTTTTGAGAATAAATTTCAAAACCGGATGGTTTTGAAAATTTGTCCTTTCGGTGTTTGGTCATTGGATGATGGGAAAAGCGTGGAAATTTCTCCGGTCGACTTTTGATACCATGTCGGTGAGTATATTGCTCTTTTGATCTTAAATTTAATTAACTGATCACCTAAAATTGAAAAGGTAAAAAAAGAACGAGAAATTATGCACGAATAGGATATGGGCGAAATACACTTGTTGTCTCTGATAAATTGACATTCTAATTAAATCTATTCTTGTCACTTTCATGCTGACTATGGTATTGCTGCTTACTCCCTTCCTTTATATGATAATCATCGTTATTTTGTTTAATTGTGAGTAGATCCTCTCTAGTATTGCTGAAGAATAGAAAAGTTGCAGATTTATTTTTCTTTTTGCCTATTTTACTTTTAAAGAAAAAGAAAATTAATTTTTGCTGGTTGTATTTTTTTAGTCTTAATAACAATTCTTATTATTAGGGGCGGTCTGTATGGTGCAAGTTAGCAGGCGAATCTGGTGTTGCTAACTTACACCCCCGCCGAGATTTGGATGGGAAAGAAGAAGAAGAATAGTGGGAAGAAGATCATTGAAATTGGTTTAAGAGCTTCAAAATTGATCTCGTCTGCTCATGAGGATCAATATGATACCAGTTTTGAAGATGAGAGCCTGATCTCTGAGGAGGAAGGGTTCAGTACGATTTTGATGGGGTCAACGGGGCCAAAGGGGGAGAAGAAGAAGAAATCAATGGTGGAGATCCTCAATGCTTCTTCTAGAGTGTTGCAAACTCCTACTAGAGTGATTGGGATTCAATCTCGCCATCTAAGTGAGTCTTCTATTCCTCAGAGTAGAATTTCTTGGGCTGAGGAAGTTGATTTTGATGATGATCTCTCTGTTTCAAAAGCATCTCAGTCTCAATTTCTTTCGAACTCTGATGCTACTGTTCCATTGAATCAGCATGAGGAAAGGGATGATGCTGTTAGATCTGAAATTGTTATTTCTCCTCCAAGTATGAAAGCAAATCCTCAACAAAAGGAAATAAACTCTGAGAATATTGATTTCCCCCCAATAGAGTCTGCAGAAAAAGTAAATGTTATTGAAAAAGAAAAGAAAAGTTGGATCAGTCTTTTTGCTGATAACAGGAAGCTTGGTTGTGGAATGAACCTGAATTATCTACCATCTGAAGCTAAGGATAGTGTATCCTTCAATGAAGAAGAATGGAATGAGAGAGCATCTTTTTGGGAATTCTCTCTGGTAGGTCAAGTAATGGGGCTGAATGTCAAATTTAAGGCAATGGAGAATTTTGTGCAGAAAATCTGGGCTCCTTTGGCTGTCCCTGATATCTGTCTTCTCAAAGCTGGATTGTTTTTGGTTAAATTCAAAAATATGACTGATATGAACAGTATTCTTAGCAATGGTCCTTGGTTTTTTGGATCAAGACCTCGTCAATAGGCGAAGAATATGAAAGGAATAAGGAATGCATTTATCCTATGTGGATCCAATTGCCTTTTCTCAGACTTAATCTATGGAATGAAAAGGCTATCAGTAAAATATCTAGCACCATTGGAAGGCCAATAGCAACTGATAAACTCACTGCTAACAAGCAACGGTTGTCTTATGCAAGAGTGCTTGTTGAAGTTAGTATGCCATCCCCTCTCCCTGGTCAAATTACTATACAGGATCCAAATGGAAAATGTTTCAATCAAGCTATACACTATGAATTGAAGCCTAGATGGTGTGAAAAATGTAAGCTGGTGGGTCATGAAACAAGCTTTTGTAAACGTTTTCCAAAAATTCAGAAATGGGTACCAAAGCAAAAGGAAAATCAAGGGTCTCAACAAAGGGCACCTGATATTGGGGTTCAGCAAGTGATACTGTCAAACTGTATACCTGGATCCCAATCTGGCTCTGTGCATGCTCAAAATGATATAGATATATCTGGAAGTGGGGTTCGGATTGCATCTATTAACATATCTGATTCCCAGGATGTTGTGCATGTTGTACATGCAAAATCTGCTCAGTATGAAGGTGGAACATCAAGGGCAAGTGTGCAGACTGAGCAAATAACTCCTGAAGTTGGGGTTCAGCAAGTGTTACTGCCAAACCTTATGCTTGGATCTCAATTTGTGCATGTCATGCATACACAGGAGACATCACTTGGAAGTGACCATATACAGGTTGTGCAGTTACAGAAAGATATATCTGGGAGAGCAAACAAAGGGAAAAAACCAACACAAACTGGAAATTCAGGGGCTCTTGTGCAAAGGTACAACCTGAATCCTTTCTCAAGCATTTCTCCATATGGACTAGGAGCAGATCCCTCTAATGTTGATAAGGGGGGCAAAACAAATGAATCTATGCTTCTGGAATGTCAGAGGATTAAATAGATCCTCTAAGCAGCACATGGTTAAAAATAATATAGTACAGTATCACTTATCCTACATTGCTCTTCTAGAAACTAAAGTCAAGGAAAATAACATTTAAAATATAACAAGGAAGGTTGTTGTTAACTGGAAGTATATATCAAATGTAAGGATCCCTGGAAAGGCTAGAATCATAATTTTATGGGATCCTAACATTCTAGACATACATTTGATTCTAGCTCAGATCAGCAGATCACATGTTCTGTAAAATCTCTCGATGGGAGAGTTGACTGTTTCATCTCTTCAATTTATGGCTTCAATAATCTTATGGGTAGGAAAAGTCTTTGGTCTGACCTTGGCCTGCTATATCATTCTTTTGGCAATTCACCTTGGTTACTTTGTGGGGATTTCAACACAATGATCAGCAATGAAGAGAAAATTGGGGGAGTTAATCTTTCAGAATCTGACACTAAGGATTTCTGTGATTTCATTGAGAATTGTCAACTTGTTCATCTTAAAAACTCTGGGTGTTTTTTCACATGGAACAATAAGCAAGAAGCAAACACAAGGGTGTGGAGTAGATTGGATAGAGCTTTGGTAAATGATTCTTAGATCAACAATTTCAATTCTAGTCATGTGGAATTCTTATTGCCAAGCTTCTCTGACCATTCTCCAGCACTGGTTTCAATTCATGAGGACTTCCTACAAAGGAAAAAACCCTTCAAGTTCTTTAATATGTGGACTAAACATGCAAGTTATCTATCTGCTGTGTCTGAAGCCTGGCAAGTACAGATTGAGGGTTTCAAGATGTATTCAGTCTTCACAAAACTAAAAAATCTGAAAAATGCTCTGAAAGACATCAATAAAAGACATTACCTTAACATAAGTGAGCAAGTGATGAGGGCAAAGAAAAATCTGGATACAGTTCAGGTAAATCTGCAAAAAGACTATCTCAATGCTGCTCTCATCAACAAAGAAAAGGAATGCTTAGCCTCCTATAATAAATTGCTGGACTGTGAGATGTCCTTTTACCAACAGAAGGCAAGAATTGAGTGGGGGATTAAGGGAGACAGATGTACTAATTTTTTCCATTCTATCATTAAATCCAAGAGACACCATAGCAGAGTGACAGTGATCTATAATAGTTCTGGAGAAAGAATTACAGATGGGGAGGGGATAAAAAGTGAACTAATCTCCTTTTACAAAGGTCTCCTGGGGACTAAAGTAAAGACAAACCCCCCAGATATCAATATTATCAGGAATGGGCCTTGTTTAAATGACACACATATCAGATTCCTATCTACAAATATTTCAAAAGATGAGATTAAATCAGCAGTATTCTCTATGCCTGATGGGAAAGCTCCAGGGCCTGATGGGTATAATGCAGTTTTCTACAAAACAGCTTGGGGAATCATTGGTGAAGAGGTAACACAGGCTATTCAAGAGTTCTTCAGAACTGGAAAGTTGTTGGGCATGGTAAATTCTACCTCAATTACTTTGATCCCTAAAATTCAATGCCCCAAAACTCTATCTGATTATAGACCAATATCTTGCTGCAACTGTTTGTACAAAATCATCTCAAAAATTTTGGCAAACAGGATAAAAACTGTTATGGGTCACTTGGTAAATGAAGCTCAGAGTGCCTTTGTAAAAGGTAGGCAGATATCCAGCAACATTCTACTTGCGCATGAGTTGATTAAAAATTAGGGGATGAAGCATATTTCACCTAGAGTAATGCTCAACATTGATATAAGGAAAGCGTTTGACACATTCAGCTGGGAATTTCTGGAGGATATGCTGCAGGGTCTGGGTTTTCCTAGTAAGATGACAAATTGGATAATGGCTTGTATCTCTACTCCAAAGTATTCAATTTCTTTAAATGGATCCCTCCATGGCTATTTCAAAGGGGAGAGGGGACTGAGGCAAGGTGACCCTTTATCACCTTATTTGTTCATCTTAGGGATGGAATACTTATCTAGGAGATTGGATAAATTAAAGAATGAAAAGGACTTCAAGTATCATCCTAGATGTGGGAAGTTAAATATCACCCATCTTGTCTTTGCGGATGATCTTCTTTTATTTGCAAAAGGAGATATTCTCTCGGTGCAAAATTTGAATCAATGCTTGAGTGATTTCAGTGCTGCCACAGGGCTTGAAGCCAATCCTGAGAAGAGTTCAATATTTTATGGAGGTGTATCTGATACTATCAAAACAGCAATTGGAGACTGTCTGGGTTACAAAGAAGGGGTATGGCCAATCAAATATCTTGGAGTTCCTTTGTTATACAAAAGACTATCCTATGTAGACTGCCTCCCCCTCCTCAATAAGATTTCTGGTCAATTTCAGAACTGGATGAAGTGCAGAACTTTATCATATGCTGGAAGAATTCAGGTGATAAAAAGTGTGATACTAGGAGTTCAAATCTATTGGACTTCTAGTTATATATTACCTATGAAAGTGCTCCATAAAATTGATGAACTATGCAGAAATTACTTGTGGGGGAAAAATGATCAGTCACTCAAAACTGCTCTTGTCTCATGGGATAAAATATACTTATCAAAGGATCAAGGAGGCCTGGGTATTTTCTCTGCAGTAATATGGAATAGAGCCTCAGCTTTGAGGAATTTATGGTATATACATGTCAATAAAGAACTGTTGTGGATTAGATGGATTCATGGAAACTACTTAAAAGATAAAAGCATTTGGCAAGTGCAGGCAAAAAATGGGGATTCATGGACATGGAAACAAATGTTGAAGACTAGAGACAGTTCTTTGATTCACTGTGTGGGGGAAGCTAACCTAAGTCACCTTATTGCTTCATGCTATAAAAACACCAAGGTTCATCTCTCTTCCCTGTACAGGATTCTTTCCCCCAATGTCAGCAAGGTGAAATGGCGGAATACTGTTTGGGGGGATATGAACTATCCAAAGCATTCTCTAATTTGTTGGCTTGCTATCCAAGATAGGTTGCTAACAAAGGATAGGCTGATACAGAGGAATATTGTGACAGAAAACAATTGCTGCTTATGTTCAAACTCTGGTTTGGAGAGCAGGGACCACTTATTCTTTAGTTGTCCTTTTTCTAGTGAAGTTTGGAATCAAGTGATGAATTGGTTGCAGTTTAAATGGAAGGCTTGCAGCTGGAGATGCCTCCTTGACTGGTTCTGTACCAAGATAAGAGGTAAAGGGAACAAAACGAAAGTAAAGAGGCTGGCTTTTACTTCTACACTGTATAAAATCTGGTGTGAACGCAACAGTAGGATCTTCAAGCAAGAATGCAAAAGCAAGGATCAGTTGGTGAAGGAAATCAAAATGGATATATTAATCATTACTCTCAACAGCTCCCTACCGGAAGATTTTAAAGAATGGATCAGTTCCCTATAAATAGCTAGAAGGATGAACTTTCCTGATACTTTGTAAATTTGATATCTCACATAGGAGGATCTTGATGTTCTTAAACTCATTACATTTGGTGAATGAATACAATATTTTCGTTGACCAAAAAAAAAAACAATTCTTATTATTGTCTATGAAGTTTATGTAAGGGTTAATTTCATATATCCCTACTGACTTTTATTTTTTCGGTGAGTGGGGTGGCTTGGGTCATGTGACCCTCCTTAATTTTATTTTATCTTATATGAAACCCCTCGGTTTTAAGATGTCTCACAAAATCCTCACAGATTTTTACCTTTAATTCCTGTCGGGATCCTCTCTATCTCTAATTTGCAAATAAGTAAAATTTCATGGAGAAATTTAATGAATTTTTTCATTTATCATTTATTTTATAGGAAATGTAACTCCTCCACCAAGTTTTGGGTTTTATTACTTTACCGGAATACTGTAACGTTAAGAGAATTTTTACTATAGTGAAGTTGTGTGTTACTTTTGAGAAGGGTTTTTGACTGCTACAAAGGATTAAGCGTAGGTTAATTTTAGTCAGATTTGAAGGATTATATGTATATATAGTTTCTTAATTTTCTGTCATTGAAACGAATAGCGGAAAAGTGGAATTAAAGATACTTATAGAGTCTTGTAGCTTCATATTATCGTCCTACTGTTTGATACATATATTTAGGGGTCTCCAATTGGGTTTCGGCCCAGACCCGAAGCGGTGTCCGACTTGGACCTGGTCAGGCCTAGACCCGAAGCGGTGTCCGACTTGGACCCGACCCGGGGTCAGGAAGAGCCCAAAAAATCCGGGTCCAGGTTGTGTTGGTAAAGTCCGACACAAGCCCTGCAGGGCCTGATTATTAAATTTATATATTTATATATTTTTTTATATTTATAGATTATATATACAATTATATTATGATATGGTCATTAATGTATACTTATATATATTTCTTAGTGTATAGATGGGTTCCCCTTGAGTCCTCGCTAGGACAAGGTAGAGGAGATTGACGAAGGGGCCGCCTTCTACTACGACTTTATGCATGGTTCTTGAATTGGAGGCTGAACTCCATGCTGCACAGACAAGAAGAACCCGTGAGAGGATGCGGACCGGTTCTCCCGTAGTTCCTCCAACGATCAAGTCAGTGAAACTTGATTGGGGAAGGGGATAGCCAGGAACCCAGGTGGTTCTTGAGATGACAAGGCGACGTTACAGAGGGTCTGTATGAGCTCTTCTGTGTATATGAAGAACTGTGTGTGTTCTTTTTCTTTCTGAGAGAGAGAGAGAGAGAGAGAGAGAGAGAGAGAGAGAGAGAGCCCCTAAGGTTAGGAGTCTACCTGTATATATCACCATGATGGGGATAAATGGGTCACTTCTACCCAAGCATAGGGAGATGATGGCAAAGTGCGGGCTAAGAGCCGAGTCATTCCTTGATTTACATGTATCAGTTGGCGATTGGAGGTAAGTCACTTCGGTATAGAAGAGGGCATCTCTGCATTTTTCAGAAAGTGATTGAGAGCGTGGCAGAAGGCACGCTGACAGGCTGAGTCATCCCTCGCTTTACGGGTGTCGGCTGGCAACTGGAGGGGAAGTCACTTCGATACGGGAGAGGATATCTCCGTATTTTTCGAGAAGTGATTGAGAGCGTAGCAGAAAGCACGTGGGTAACTAACAAGTCATGAAGACCTTCAGGATAGAATCAAGATAAGGCTAGTCCGAGGTGGACAGGGATGTTGACATGTGCTCAGAGGAAGAGACTTGAGGTGGAGGTTATTCCTCGATCTAGTCGACAATGAATGTTCATCAAGTCATCTCCGTGAGTAGCTGAGTAAATGGTTGAGTGCCCTTGGTGGCTCATCTTCGACGATAGGTTGGTTGATCCCGCCTTTCGTGTCGACATGAAAGAATGTCGGCTTGATGAGTCGGTGGGGTCAAGGCCTCTGTTGAGCTTGGGCCACTAAGCGGATTAGGGCTTTGTTTGCCGAAATGCACTCATCAATGCTTTATTTATACATTATACTTCTAGCGAATGGGAACACCATAACAATTGGCCCTTTTCGCTTGGAGTCGGCTTGAGCCGGTCCGAGTAAAATAAAATAAGCTTCCTATCCTTGTAAATCCACTTGAGAAACTGAAGAGCTTCTGCTATCTGTTGTGGTTGATGTCATGGAACACCATAACAATTGGCCATTTTCGCTTGGAGTCGGGTTGAGCCGGGTCCGAGTGAAATAAAATAAGCTTCCTATCCTTGTAAATCCACTTGAGAAATTGAAGAGCTTCTACTATCTGTCATGGTTGATGTCATGCACACACACACACGTATGTTCGTACATACATATACATATGCATGTATATATACATATGTATATACCTATATATACATATGTATGTATATATAATTCCTATAAATAGAAGTATTGAATTTGCATCAAAATTCCCTGATGAAATAACTGATAATAAACAGTTACAAAGATTTTTAGGTACATTAAATTATGTATCTGATTATTATAAAAATTTAGCACAAGACACTGCTATTTTATATAGTAGATTAAAGAAAAATGCAAATCCATGGACTGAGCAACATACTGCTGTAGTAAGAAAAATTTAAAATAATGTTAAATGTTTACCCTGCAACATTTAGCCAATATACATTAGTTCAAAATAGTCGAAACAGATGCATCCAATATAGAATATGGAGGCATTCTTAAACAAATAGAACCAAAAACTAATAAAGAACAATTGTTTCGATATACTTCAGGAAAATGGGATAATGCCTAATGCAATTATTCTACAATCAAGAAAGAAACGCTTTCTATTATTAAATATTTCTCTAAATTCAGAAATGATATTCTTAATCAAGAATTCTTATTAAGAATAGATTGTAGCTCTGCTAAAAGTATAATAGAAAAAGATGTTAAAAATCTTGTATCAAAACAAATATTTGCTCGTTAGCAAGCTAAATTAGCTATGTATCAATTTAAAATTGAATATATTAAATGTGACAATAATCATCTTCCTGGTTTTTTAACCCGTGAATTTTTACAGGATACAAATGAGACGGAGTAGTCCCTCCTTTTTAGGGAGGGGGAGAGGAGGTCCATCATCATCAGAAAGGAGTAATACTCCTATTCAGTCTAACTCATGGAGAACAATTGCTAAATAGAGCAATGTGAGCAGTCCTTCTCAAGCCTTTTATAAAGGCATAAATGATTTAATAAGCAAGGAAGATACTTCTGAGCCATTTACTTCTATTGCTAAAAAAAAAGTTGAATGGACTTCTTGATATGGGTGTATATTCTCTTCGGAAAAATTAATCCTCATGGGAACTTGAGGATAGATGATTCTCATGATATCTTAAGAATAGTGGTGTGAAGCGACACGATGAAGCACAGGTGGAAGCGTGGAACGAGACGATGAGCAGCAGATTCGAAGAATCCAGATTTCAGCTCGTGAGTCGACTCATACATGTACATGAGTCGACTTATTAGGTTGAGTCGACTCATGCCTGTCATGAGTCGACTCACGAAACCTAGCCATTTTTTCAAAAGCTTCTGCTCGGTCGACTCATCAGTTTATGAGTCGACTCATCAGTCATGAGTCGACTCATATGCAGTCATGAGTCGACTCATCGAGGTTTCCTGGGCAGATTTGGTTTCTGTTTTGAAGGAATTCTAGTTGGGTTTGGTTTTGGTTATTTACCAGATTGCTACCACGTTGTAAACCCTATAAATAGGGACTGTTTAGGGTTCTAAACAGGGGGTTAGAGGCCAAGATATAGATCTAAAGAGTTTTAGGTCTAAGTGAGATCCTAATCAAAAGGATTAGGGTTTAGATTGTGAGGATCTATGAGATCTTAAAGGAGGGAGAGAATCAGATAGATTCAGAGAGAGATTCTAATCTTTGTATTAGGGTTTAGTGAGAATTGAGAGTTTGTTCTCGATTCTAGTGAGATTGTGAGAGAGGGATTGTAATCTTTTCATACTCATAATCTAGAGAAGGTATTTTTCTTCATCGTATACTGAATTATGCTTGTGCTTCTGTCATCCTCTTCTCAACCCACCTTTGATAATTCCACGATCAAAGGTGCTCGCACGGCAACTCGTATCAAGTTGGTATTAGAGCATCAGATCCGGTGAAGGGGCATCCTGTGTATGGTCCTGACTCGATCGTAATACAAGAAGCTTAGCGAGATCCTTTTCTTTGGAAGGAGTTCAGAAAAGAAGGAAGAAATGATGACTAAAGTCAACATAGATGGAGGGGCTCGAGAGTTTCCTCAACTGAAGTTCTAACTTAAATGTGACTTTAAGTTTCTAAAGGGGGACCCATGATACGGGTGTATCTTTTCTTCGGAAAAAGTGATCCTCATAGGAGCTTAAGGATAGGTGATTCTTATGATATCCTGAGAATAGTGGTGTGAAGCGACACGGCGGAGCACAGGTGGAAGCGTGAAACGAGACGACGAGCAGAAGATTCGAAGAATCCAGATTTCAGCTCGTGAGTCGACTCATACATGTACATGAGTCGACTCATTAGGTTGAGTCGGCTCATGCATGTCATGAGTCGACTCACGAAACCCAGCCGTTTTGTTAAAAGCTTCTGCTCGGTCGACTCATCAGTCAATGAGTCGACTCATCAGTCATGAGTCGACTCATATGTAGTCATGAGTCGACTCATCGAGGTTTCCTGGGCAGACTTGGTTTCTGTTTTGAAGAAATTATAGTTGGGTTTGGTTTTGGTTATTTACCAGATTGTCACCACGTTATAAACCCTATAAATAGGGACTGTTTAGGGTTCTAAACAGGGGGTTAGAGGCCAAGATGTAGATCTAAAGAGTTTTAGGTCTAAGTGAGATCCTAATCAAAAAGATTAGGGTTTAGATTGTGAGGATCTATAAGATCTTAAAGGAGAGAGAGAATCAGATAGATTCAGCGAGAGATTCTAATCTTTGTATTAGGGTTTAGTGAGAATTGAGAGTTTGTTCTCGATTCTAGTG